TTTCTGCAATTTAATCATTGACATATATGTGACATTTCAGACAACTTGGAATATTGCAGCAACATTACTTTGCAATATTAAATCTTGCAAGGAATGTTGCAGCAACATTGCTTTGAAATATTAAATCTTGCAGGAAATGTTACAGCAATATTGCACGAACATTGCTGGGCAATATAAAATCTTGTAAGAAATATTGCTGGGCAATTTGAAAAAATTTTGCAAGAAATATTGCAAAAATATTACAAGTACATTACTTTGCAATATTAAGTCTTACAAGGAATATTATTATATATTAAATATTAGATTGTATTTACGTATAGAATATTATGTTAAAAATTGTGATTAGGATTGAAATAAGTGTGCACAGCACGTTTATCACGTTTTATCATTTGACGTGATCAGAGCAGAGGCACACTTGTGGATGTTAGTGAAAAGACAGTCGGCTCTCTTTCAACCCTTTCAGCTCAGAATCTCGGTAAAGATTATTAAGACGCTAGAGGGGTTAGAGCAAAGAGCAACCCTCTTCTCGTAGTCTAACATAAGTCTTGTTCACCGGCATTTAATTATCTCTGGAACGCGATATCCTCTCAGCTAGACTAGTCAAACCTAGTCTTCTGCTTTATTATACAAAAATTAGGCGCTCGTCTGTTCCAGTTATATACAATTTTATTGTTGGTCATGTTAAATTATTAAATACTGTAATTTATTTTAAATTAGGCTAGAATTTATCCCCAAATATATTGCAAATAATTATTAAATGAATTATATAAAAAATTGTATTATATTATGAATTTATATTGTCAATGAATTATTGGATGAATTATAGCAAAAATCTGAAAGCAGTTAGAGATGAGTATTTATGTATAATGGAAAACCTAATTTCAAGGGGAGTTGTTCTAATAAAAATTGAGGCGAAATAGGCAGTAGAATGGAATGACAGCGTCGCAGGGTGGTTTATAGAAGAATAAACGTTCCTGTTCTGAGATGACGAGGGGAAACGGTTTCTTCTAAGGGCTTTCGCCTGTTCCTTGGCTGTCACGTCATCCCACAGCACTGTAATCCATGAAAATCCCTTTGTCGCGAGTCCCTCCCCACAGCCACGTGTATCATCTTAAGGATTTCACATCAATTTGTGTTCCTTATTGTTATTTAAAATCCATTTACACTATCAATT